AAAGGCCCAAAGGCAAGAAAAATGCCAGTTTCTTTGATTTAATTATTTTGACGAGCGCCTGGTTTCACCACGATGCCTTACAATTAATACATGTACTGTGCAACCCTCAGTTTTCTCCCTAGTCGCTCCTGGGGAAGCCTTTGGAGCCAAACGTTGAGTTGTTTTGTTAGAACGTTCCACTGAAGTGAATCGCGAATCGCGTTCCGCAGGGAAGAGTGGCAATTCAGTTCCGTTCTTGCACTCGCGACCCAGCTCTAAACTGTACCTCAACTATGATTTTATTTTAGATTTTTTTTTTTTATGAACGTCATTATTTTTGTATTATTTATTTCAAACGGATCCAACGTGTTCCAAGACTCTCGACTTTCTTACTCTGCCTTTGTTTTCATTTCACCCCAAATTATAATCTCCGGGTATTAAATTATAACCCGTTGCCCCAAATTTGATCTCCATTCCAGAATGTCTCGAGCCCCCAAGCAAAACACTGACCACACGGACAACGGTGCATGAGCCGCAGAGACTGCCAACACTAACGTCATTTCACAAGCCGCAGAGACTGACCACAATGGTGTCAGCCCACCAGGTAGAGACTGACCACACTGACGTCATTGCACAAGCCGCACAGACTGACCACAGTGACGTCAGCGCATGAAGGCGCCACAAGCAATAATATCATGAAAGCAGTAAGTGCATGCACAATGTACAAGAGTAGGAAGGGCAAGGGGGGGGTGAGTTGAACAAAGAAAAGTATGGACGAATTCATAAGATATGTCTTTGTTTTGGTAAGTGATTTACGGCGTCGCAACTGCATAAGGTCATATGAGCGCGAGGGACACATTAAACATTTCCAGTTCCAGTTAAAAGGACATTTTGAATATCGCCAGGGTGGCGGCCGAACCCTACTCTTATCGATGTTGGACCACCAAGGGATCTTTAACGTGCGCAACTTGCACACGGGACCTCCGAGATTTTTCGCCCTTATTCGAGAAGGCCAGACCTAGGTGTTAGATCTAACCTACCATAAGATCAGGGGTGTCGCTGAAAGAGAAAGACAACAGTAAGAAGAGCCAAGAAGAAGCAGTAGAAAGTCTGCGGAAAGAGTCAGGAGCCCAGAAGAGAGGGCAAAGGAGATGCATGAGGGGGTGGGGGCAGAAAGTGGAGACGAAAGTAGATGACAGAATATTGTTAGAGAGCAGGACAGGGGGTGAAAGGAGAGCATTTTAGATTTTTTAAAATTCT